ATCCTGGGATGAAGAAACGTTATTTTATGTCGATTCTTTAGATGACAAAGGAGGTAACCAATAGCATATCTTACAAAATTGAGGACAATAATAAGGATCGTTTATAAAGGTTAAAATAATTATTTTACTAAATTAAGACTTAACATATCCATGTGTTCGACATAAACTCACTTCTAAATCTCTTACATTAGTCGGTTGAGAAGCGGATCGAGAATGATTGTTTGAATATGTAAGTCACTACAAATATAAAGCTATACAAATATATATATAAACAGCAAAACGTATGCCATGTTCATATTATTTCAGAAGTCGTACAAAATTGGAATGAAACGATGAACAATATACAGATCTTTAGACAGGCTCAAATAATGTATGTTTAGGAGCAACTTGAAGATAATGGAGATTTATCTTCTTAATATGTAAGTTGATTATATATAGTTGCTGTATATATATTATTTGGTAACAAATACATTATATTTATAATTGTTTTAGAAAACCTCTAAAATTGGGAACAGTATGTCATATATGCATGAACTTGATTGATGTATTGATGTATATGAACTGAAGATATAATGAATTCAATCAGGTTAAAAAAAATTGTATGTGCAAAAGCGACTCGAAGACGATTTAGATTTGTCTCCTGAATATGTAAGTTGCTACACATATGGAGTGGGATATATATTATTAGATTCAATAAAACACATATGTTTCAAATTGTTTTAGAAAACTTCCAAGAAGTACATCATATATGAATATCCTGTATCCTCGCATTTGATGTATTGAACTGGCGATAGAATGAAATCAGTCAGTGTTAAAAATGTATGTGTAAAAGCGACTTTAAGATGATGGAGATTTGTTACACTGAACATGTAGGTAGCTACACATATGGTAGCTGTATATATATATTATTATATACAGTAAATCACATTATGTTTGAATTTGTTTTAGAAAACTTCCAAAATTTGGGGCAGTATGTCATATGTGCATAATCTGTATCCTGGCATTTTGATGCAATGAACTGGCGATAGAATGAAATAATGAAAAATAGGCAGGCTGTTTGATGTATAAGGAAGTGGCGATAGAATACTATGCAACACTTCACACTTCACGCCCCAAAAATAGAATTACGTTCATTAGATATACAACAATTTTCATTAAATATACTGTTATTAATATGTTTAGATTGAATAATTTGTAAAAAGTTTTCTAGTATAGTTCATGTTAAAATTTCATAATTTGAAAACTACAATTCTAATTTGTAATATTTAATATTGTAAAATTTCTTATTATTCACGTAAATAAATGCTTATTCGTACAGAAAAGAATATTAATTGCATTACGTCATCACTTTCAGGTGCTATTACGTCATAACTGAGTCGCCATTTGTATGACGTCATGACCCGAATCGTTTTCATTCGCCAATGACGTCATGACTGGGGTGAACGCCTTACGTCAGACGGTCTTATCATAATAAACAAACATATGTGGGTCAACGTCGATTTTCATGTATCACGAACGCCACGTGCGCAAGAGACCAGACCGAACTCGATAGTTGTTCGATAGTTACATAAAATTTGCGGCCGTATCCATTAAATATCGAGGAAAATGAATAGGGGAATCGCATGTCACACGACCTAAATAAAATATTGCCACGATGTTGTGCCATATCGCATGTTATGGAAAGTAAGGTCTATTATTGAACTTGCACTGCCCTTGACAAAGGTTGGCTTGGCCACATTTTGCTGCATTTATATACAGTTTGCTATTTGGTGACCTTCTTGTCCACATCTAATGCATAGATTGATCCGATTCACATCGCTCTTGCACTGTGATCCATAATGTCCAAATAGCCAGCATTTAAAGCACCGGATTGGTTTATTGATGGATTTAATTCGACAGTTGACCCATCTAATTTGTATTTTGCTACTTGTTCTGAGCAGATCGTGTACAATTTGCGCTGGTAGAGCTGTTGTATCAATATGGGTACCTCTGTATGCCTTACGAATCTTAATTGCTTATGCTGGTGCGTTGCAGGCTCCTCCGGGCTTTTTGTAGTGCTGACTAGATATCAATTTTGAGGTTTCATCATCAATATCCCTTATTTTTATAGTTACTGGGTGCCCGTTATAGATAACTTCGGCCTCATCCTTTAAACACACCTGCAATAATCTGTTGTAGTCCTTGGCCTTTGTCCCCACTTTTCTTGGAAATGGTTATCAACAAGTCTCCATTTCTGGTTTTATTTATTTTGTCTACTGTCGTATTCACCTGGTCATCAGGGACATCATGTTTGATACAACGTAAGATTTCGGAATAATTAACTTTTTCGGTAGGCCGGATCAATAAGGCATTTGGTTTTGGAAAAATTCTATGATTTTTATCATTTTATGGTTAGAGTCCTATTCTGACAGATTTACCCCTTTCTTCAGTACGATTGCTTTGAAAACTAGTGGGTGTATGGCATCATGCCTTAAGGCAAATTTGTCTAATATTTATAAGAATTATATAAACTGAATTGGAAAGTTGAAATTATTTGTTTAAAGTACATTAGAAAAAAATTAAAATAAAAATCTGATTTATTTTCGATATACAAAAAAAAATTAAAAAAAAAATTTTTGAAACAAAAATTTTTTTTTACTAAAATCGATTATTTTGTTAAAACAAGCAGAAAGTTCTTTGAACCATTCAAATGGGACGCTTAGTTCTCTCAAAAACTGCCATTTTTTGCACATTTAGCTCCGTATCTTCGAAATGGCCGGGCCTGCCTTTGCCAAAAACTAATAACACTTCTCCCAATCATTACTAATTGAATGATTTTAGATCATTCAAATCGGATGCTCCGTTCTCTCAAAAACTCGATTTCTATTTTCTGCACTCTTTGCTCTTTATCTCCGTAACTGCTGGACCTTCCTCTGCCAAAAACTAATCAGGACATTTCCCTATCGATATCGATAGGAATGTCCGATTGTTTTTGAAGGTCAGCAACCGTTCTATAGGAATCGAATGTTGATCGGTGATCGTGCGCCTGAAAACGTGGACGAAAAATTGTATCCATACATACATACACACACACACATCCATTTTTTCTTAAGTATGCCAAAATGTTCAGAAACCTTCGAAACGTCGAGAAATGCAAACATTTTTGATTTCGATTTTTGGACGATCACAATAACTTACCCTACGGGATGTTAAAAAGTTCTGAATTTCCAAAATATTTCAAAATAATTTTTTCTTCAAATTAAATAATATTTAAATGAATATTCAATATATCGGTTATTTTTGTAGAAATAAATACAACATCTTCAATTAATAAAAGTAAAGATTCCACATTGAAATACATTTCAAAATCCCGTCTTCTTACCATATAAATACCAAAACGAGCGGGCGATTTAAAAAAAGGCCGCTGTTTTACGAAACATTTGAAACGCTTACTCTTGATAATCCCGAGATCGATTCTATGTCCGAATTCCATTCGCTTTCCAATGGGCGCATTGGAAGGTCATGTACTTATAATCATTAATAATACAATACTACCTACTGTCAAAAATTAAAATCAATTTTATTGGATTTACTAAAACCCAACACTTCCCACTTATTCGTCTCCAGCTTTATCAAATTCTGTAATTGTCATTTGTGCATCATAATGTTTTCAACTGTTCACAATTCCTACAATTAAGCCAATTTTTGTACCAATTGTTTAGGTAGCAAACGCAATAGTCCGTGCCATTCAAAAAACACTGGTCTATCTTGTAAAGCCAAATATCACACTTTATTACATTCCAACATAAATGCTTGCAAAACAAAACAGTTTCAAACCGATATTCCAAAGATTCGATGCAGTATGATATTTCCTAGTCAAATAATTTATCACATTGTATAAACTTTATCTATGCTTTAGGCCGATCGGAAATGTTTACGTTTAGGTAGGAGATATTAAAATATTAAAACTAGTCTCTTGCTTGATAACTTATGCCCCAAGCGATCGAAACTTTGTGACCGAAACACTTCGTCTATATAGGTAACTCCTCACAAAAAATAACGGACATGGCAAATTCAACTAATATGTCTAATTATTGTTTCTTTCAAATACCTGTATGTGCCTATGCCAAACGTGAAATTGCCGAACTACAACCAACTATTAAAATTTTCTTCGATTGCATTCTCAAATTCTTATCCTTACACCGGATATTTTTTTAGTCTACAAACAACGGACGAAAGTTTAGGTTGTGATGCATTTAATGCAATATTTTTATCAAATTACATCAAAACAGTTGATTCACTTATACTAATGGATATAAAATGGGTTATGTAATAATGGGATCTATTCTCAGCGTTTCATCGCCGATTCAAATTTGAGAAATGCATATGATTCCTTGTCTTAACAAATTAAGACTTTTTTGTAGTAGAAGATGTACCGGACTTGATTGTTTCTATAAGTGATTATTACGCATAGGTCCATGAGTGCACCACTGTACGCAACTCTGACGAACGTTATGTGGCCGCATTGCCATTCCATGACAATATTAAAAGCCCTGTAAATTTAAACCTAAAATCAGGGCTAAGGTTTACTATAATTCATTTTTTTTTTTTTATTTTATTTTTATTCTGCAATCTATAAAAATAATTATATTTAGCAGAGAATGCTGACAAGTGTTTACAATTGGTTGTTTACAAATTAGCACATACGCCCAGTGGTGTATCTACTATAGTTAATATATAAAAAAAAAAAAACTAAAGACAAATATAGAGGAAAAAAATATAAATATAAAAATAAACTATAATAAATCTCGAGGTATTTTCCTTTTGAGCCTGGTCTATAATTATAAACTATAATTCATAATGGGCAAAATTGTTTAAAATACAATTAGCGTAACCTGGCAAAATTGTGTGTAAAATACAATTATAAGAGAAATCACAAAAGTCTTCATCGATCCGAAGGGAGCTAAAAAAAATGGCACCAGGTCAAAGGTCACAAAATGACCCTTTTGCGATTTTTAGCTAAATAGTCAGTTTTATCGCAAAATTACCTGAGACAATATTGTAAACCATAGTTTTTTTTTCTTTTTTTTCTTTTTTTCTTCTTTTTATTTATTTCTTATAGCCAATCTGAACCTTGGGTTCAATGAGGTTACTTGCTGATTCCCCTTGTGGAGAATTTCCTTACATAAATATATAGATTGTTAATTTATTAAATCTTGCGGTCCCTTTCTTTTTAATCTTCTCATAGGAACTTGTTTTTGGAGGTCTTTTATTAGAGTGTTTGGATGGTATGCGCTCTTTTGATGATATTTCGTACTTCTCTCCTTGATAACCTCCTGTACATATTTGATGTTTAGATCTCGATGAATTGTTTTGTTGGAGACATACCAGGGCGCGTTCACTATAGCTCGTAGTATTTTTGACTGTGCTCTTTGAATGGTTTTTATATTGGACGCGCTCGCACATGCCCATAGCTCGATACCGTATTTCCATATTGGTACTAATAAAGCTTTATATATTAGGATCATGCTCTCATATGACATCTTAAGGCTTCTTCTAATTACCCAATAGAGTTCATGAATTTTTTTGTTTATTTGCTTACGCTTTGCTCTGATGTGGGTACTTCATGTGAGTCCTCTATCGAGGTGAAGTCCTAAGTATTTTACAAAGTTGCTTATTGGAATTTCTACATTGTCGATTTTTATATTTGTCAAACTCCCTTTCTTTTGGTGAATGTGATGTGGACTGACTTAGTTGAGTTAATAGTAATTTTCCTGAGTGTACTTTTCTTATTTGTGTATATAATTTTGCAGCTGTACCGAGGCCTTTGTGGTGTCTTCATGAGTTTATAAAACCATGGTGTCATCTGCGAATGTTT